ATCAACGCCTTCCTCCATCCCGCCGAGCTGCGAGCCTAGCAGACACACCCGCCACTCTTCGGCTTCCCATTCTAATCGTGTCGTACTTCGTACATCCAGAACTGGCCAGTACTCCTTTGTTGGTAGGGCAGAGATTCTGCTACAGTTTGCCTGTATCCCAGTTCTACTGACCTTAGGCAGTACAAAAATCAGCTTTAAGTTCCTTATAGCTGTCGCGGTGCCCGGTTCCTGCCTACGCGACTGCTTCAGACTAAAAAAATTAGTCGTAATGAGAGCGAACTCTCTTCAATTACCCTACCCTTGTATACAGCGCATATGCCTAAGGCAACACTTAACAAGTAGGTGCAAAAATTGCAGTAATCAAGTGTTTTTTCGTGTGAATTAGCAGACTAACAAGGTGTCTTTCATCAGAGGATGCATACCTTAGGTCCTTAGGATGTAGTGCGTAGTGACCACTTTTTAGTGGATTTTGATTAAAATTATTTTCAAAATAATATACAGGGTGTCTGTGAAGGGTTGGAAACTGGAGATACTACAGACCAAAATATGTGAATTGACCTAAACATACCTTAGTCCAAAAGTTGATAGTTTGCGAGATACAGGGTGTCAAAGTTACAATTTTGTTTTCTATTTTTCCTTATTGCTTGAGAAGTATTTCAGATTTTGGCATAAAACTCGGTGCAGGGAGGTTTTCTATTATGAGAAACAAGAATCAGTTATTTTTTATGGCCAAACTTCTAGAGAACGCCACTTACAGCACTATTTCGGTAAATAACTTATCATAACTTTTTGGGCTACCCTGTATACAACTGACCGAAAAATGTTATTTTCTCGTATTTCCACAACAAAAAAGGTTTACTTGTTAGACGTGTCTAAAGCTAATAGTTTTCAAGATATTTGTTTTTAAAAGTTCCATTACATCTTGCCAATCCGTACATTAAATGCATATCAGAATATTCATCAAACGTATACTCCCAACTTATTGTCAACTTGAAATTATTCATGAAGTTTAAAGCAATATTATGACAAACATTAGAAACCATAGCAACGCTACTCAGATATTATCCAGAGCAACTTAAATATTATGTAATAAAAATGTTTTATCATCATGGTACAAATAATAATGCATTGGAACATTTAAAAACAAATATCTTGGAAACTATTAGCTTTAGACACTTCCAACAAGTAAACCTTTTTTTTGTGGAAATACGAGAAAACAAGACAGTTGTATACAGTGTAGCACAAAAAAGTTATGCTAATTTATTTACCGAAATAGTGCTGTAAGTGGCGCCTCCTAGAAGTTTGGCCATAAAAAATAACGGATTCTTGTTTCTCATACTAGAAGACCTCATATACCGAGTTTTATGCCAAAATATGAAATACTTCTCAAGCAATAAGGAAACATAGAAAAAAAATTATAACTTTGTATCTCGCAAACTGTCAACTTTTGGACCAAGGTATGCTTAGGTCAATTCACATATTTTGGTCTGTAGAATCTCCAGTTTAGAGATTTCCCAACCTTTCGCAGACTGTAGACTAGGCCGATTTTCATAACACTGAATTTTAATTTTTTAAAGCTTGCAGTTAGTAATTCGTTTTATTTTTTCAGGAAGTCAAGTTTTGTGGATAATTCTAATAAAATAGGTAAGTTAATGTTTTGAGGATTAATTGTCTTTTTTAATATTGCAAATATACGATTATTTGTGTTATAAGTAAATAGGTACGTTTATATTTTGTGATATTGTAAAAATGGAAAAACATCCACCCTGCCAGTGAAAGAGCGTCGACAGCTGTACCCACTAAAACCCCGTCAACCTTGGCCTTGAAACGTACTAACTGAAACATGTCTGCAGTTCTATTTAAATCACCATTGCACTTTAGCATATGTTAGCGCTGCTGGATAATATTGGTCCAGTCCTTTTAATCAAATTATGAAAAAATATCTGAAACCTATAAGCAAGATGCCTAAGCTAGAGGTTTTTCAGTTCAGTGAAACAGAATACCAGCCCGACCAAGTTCGCAAGCACAAAAGACCGCAGCTGCGAACAAAATCAATCCGTGCAACTTTAGGATCAACGTTTAAATTTTGATGCAACACCAACCCTCAAAATTAGTGCTTGCTATTAATTCAATATTGCCGAATCATAGTTAACAATGTCATGTTCCCTTCCAGCCATCATACTGTGTTCTCTTTACTCTCCATCTTTCTTACTTTCTTTTTCTCCCTGACTGTCTGATCTGGGCAGGGCAGACTCTTGGATCAAAAGTCGTTCAAAAAATTGTGTCAAGTGTGTTGATAAACTTCCCACGCAAGGCTGTCATCAGTCCAGTTCGGTATACGTTGGCTACTCCGAGGAAAAAGCTACGAACATCTATAACAAAAAATTTAATGGATCAAGTCAACCTGACCTACCGACGGTATCGATAACCTGGCTGCGCTGCTAAACCCCACCCGACATCCAGTGGTCAGATCCCCCGACACAGGTATTCTACGTTCAACACTAGTTGACAATATTTCTGCATTATTCTATTTTATGGGCAAGTGTGCGGGGAAATCTATGATGTGTAAAATATGTCTGGATAGGAAGCGTATAAATATACTAGCTCCACAAAATTGCGACTTACCCTCCCCCACCCCTTACAACACCCAGTCGCCGATTTTTAACCCATATAAAAAGCGTTCTGAAAATGATCAGAAGTTCCTGACAAATGAAATAGCTATATTTGAGCGGTTCTTTTTTTAACTTTTTTAGCCCTAGCTACGCCGCCGGTGGTCAAAAAATAAAAATGTTTACCGTCCTTGATGTAATAGTAACTTTGTGTCAAAATTTCATTAAAATTTCCAGTGGAAAAATACGTAACTGGTAAACAGTGCGGGGAATATAGTATGAACATCCTACACAGATCGAATTGGAAAAGCAAGATATCAAAGTGTCGCATTGAGGCTTGAACATACCCTAATTTGACTGGGCCATGCATATATGCATGCGTATTTCTGTGGAGGGGATAATAAAGATGCTCAAACGATCCCGAGTTTGTCCGGTTCATTAGAGTTCAAAACCCCCTAATAAAATTATACAAAGTCGGATGAGGATGAATTCTCGGGTACTTATTTTATTTTATGGTTATTTTAACTCACTTTTTAAACTAAATAGTTTGAATGCCAAATGCGTAATAAAAAGGATCTAGATGAATCCTTGACACATTTAAACAAAATAAAACGTGATTAGGAAATCGAGTTAGATAATTTCTCCCACGAATCCGAAGTTTTCTCCTTTTCTATATGGTAGAATAGAAATGCCCTCGACCTCACTGTGGTTCGAAAGATAAACGCCTGAAGGTATTTTGCTGAGTCTGTTTCTCAATTTTAACCGTCAGCCTAGCATGTAATTATAGCATTTTTGACCATCGCGTGTTAGTTGCCCTACATGTTTTTTGTGAGATGAATAAAGAAGAAAACGGAAGATAATCTTTTCGGTTCGTTATTCTACGTGTCAAGATGAAACAATCAGATAAAATAGAAATCAACGGTTCTTTCTGGTATTCATGAAATACATATAATATGAGGCCAATTCGTTTATTTTTGTTATCATGTAGCTGAAGGTATCCCAAAACTACGCAGCTAGAACTACCATAAGCTCAGCTGCAAAAAAGTTGTCCACAAAATATTACAGGCAAAAATTCACTACTCAAAAAAATTAAGGGAGCAAGAAAGAAATCCAAATTTTTCAGTGATCTTTTGTATTTTGGTGAAAAGTTTTATCTAAACTTTGAAAAAGCATTTTGAAGCTTTAAGATTCTAGATTTTATGTTTTTTGGGAGCAACGGTTCTTATGCAATTGTAATAGCACAAGGAACATTTTTTGAAAAAATGTTGCCTTCTTTTTAGTCCATGGGCTTGAACACATATTTTGCCGTTCGGCCATCATATGGATCAGATAGCCCCTTTAGCTTTAATATTGTTTTTAAAAGTTCGATACGATTATTTGGCGCGCAGACATCTGACTTAGAATGAAAGAATATCCGTTTGTCATCGACCTTTGATATCTCGGTAAGTGATCGCACAGTGAATGTAAGGCTATTTCCGAAAATTGGAATATATTTCCTATAAGATTTGATTGCAATCTTTGAGGTTTGTTTCCTTAGTACTGATTGTAAAAGAGTCAAAAAATGTTACTTTTTGGTTTGTTTTGGAAAGTTTTCGGAACTGCTAATGAGAAGGGTAATGTTTATAGGTTTTTTATACCTCAGTGTACCCCTAATGACCCTACACGTTGGCAAATCGATCCATAGTACGCTTTCTCCGGACCGATTGGTCAAAATTTGACAGAAATCAAAGGAATAAAATTTTTGTATTATATAACATTCTGTAATCTAGTTGGAAATGGAAAAAAGATTTTCCTTCTTTTGGTGTCACTATTAGATATCAGTGACTCCTTCAATTTTAAAAATTACAGTTGGAAAAATTTTATTCATGGAATATTCCAAAAAACAAAAATACTAACAGGGGCAGATCTAGAAAGTATTGTATTCCGTCCGACCGAAATGAGTAAGATGCGAATGATGAATTGCATCATTTTTACATTTTGACGAGAGAAACTGTACAACGGATAGATCTGACGTCGTGTAGGGTTATTAGAGGTACATTGAGGTATAAAAAACCCAAAACAAGGCAAAAAGCAACTTTTTTAACTTTTTAAAATCAGTACTACGGAAGCAAACAAATCCTCAAAGATCAAATCTTATAGGGAATTTATTTCAGTTTTCGTAAATACCCTTACATTCTCTGTGCAATCACTGGTTTTAAAGATATCAGTGGTCGAAAAATGGAAAAAACATTCCTTGCGCTACCTGTTATAATTGCATTTTCATCGAAATACAGCGTATCAAAAATCACTGAAAATTTAGATTTTTTCTTGCTCCGTTAAATTTTTTGAGTACTTTATTAGGATCTGCATGGACAGTAGATAAGCAATAATTTATTTCTCCATTTTATTGTGGCTTTATTAAAGAATCAAACTCAACCTATATACTAGCTGTTTTGAAAATGGCAGTTCACTCATTTAACTTTTTATTTGAACCTGTACCTTTGATACATCCAGTTTTGTCTAGCTAAGTATAAATATTTAAACTAGAATAACCATAGAAATAAACTATTAGCGAAAACTCTGCAAACGCCTGGATTTCAAAATGCCCTTCTTCCCACTCCTTGTTCTGTTTCTAACATTCGCCTTATTCCCTTTAGGCTTATTACTTATAGCCGCATCTTCATCAACATCTATCCATTGGCCATCTGAAGCCATACCTTCCGATTTTGGCATGTTTGCTTCACTACCGTCTCTATCAAACTGTCTGATCAAATCCATCATTATCGGGTCAATAACAGTCATCGATTGAGCCCTTTCAAAGACATCTGTCGACCTACTAGGGTTTGGAGCTGGACTCTTTTTCCTTTTTGGAGCACTCAACGTAGAAGATGACCTTGAAGATGGAGGTCGTACTTTTAGAGTGTAAGAAACATTCGTTGACTTGCCACTGTCTCTTGTCATTAAGGAGCTCTTAGAGGTGTTAGGTTTAGTTTCTTTGGATATCAGTGAGTAGACAGAGTAAGTCTCTGAAGTGCTGCCTTCAGAATTCCCTAGGTATTTCGAGGTCTTTATACTACCCTTGGAAGCCAGTTCTGATGCGTTGTCTTTAGATATCGACAGACCGACGCAAGAGTCCAAAGGGACATTGAGTGACGCTAGAACAACCAACTCATTCTCACCGTCCAGCTCGTTATGGTTGTAAATACCTGCCCCAGCTTGTACAGATTTGGAGATGCTTCGTTTCTTGATAGTCATCATATAGCTTTCGTATATTCCACCTCCTTGACGGAATTCTGATTCGCCGAAGACTCCGCTGCTTGTACTGTCTTGATCTTGCTCACCAGGACCTTAAACAGTTATTTTATTATTATTGACATGTTCAACAAGAAAGCTGCACAACCTTATGCTTATATTTGGGCGTTTACATACAATTTTCATCATCACAGCCATGTTGTTAAGTAGGATCTTTTTTTAACCCGAAGCAGCTGCGCAGGCAGAAGCCTAAATGCCAGGACACCGCGGTTGCTATGATCTCAGAGAAACTTTGTTAATCCAATGTTTGTACTGCCTAAGGTTGTAGAACTGGGAAAGGTCTCCTCTTGTAGATTTTTCCACAATCTCGACACCCTTGCGACAAAGGATCGCGGTCGTATCGGCCAGTTCTGGATGTACGAAGTTCGACACAGTTAGGATGGGAGGCCGAAGTTATTCAGGTCTGTCTGGCAGGCACATCGCGCGGCGGCATCATGTAGGAGAGCTCTGACGGTGAAGCAGTAGAAGAGAGCTAGATCACCGACGGCCTACCGGTGCAAAAGAAATTAGCATAAGAGGGCAGTTTGCCACAACTGATCGAACGCTTTCATGATCAAGAGCAACGACATGAGCCTCACCAGAAGAGTGGAGTTTACTCAATGGAGTTTACTCCACAATTGCATGCGGTAAGCGAGGTGATCCCCTGTGGATCGGTGGTGCCGGAAACCACATTGGTTGTCGCTAATCAATCCGTGAAGTTCGAGGTACTCGATTTATGCACCTCTCCATCAGCTTACATATAAAGGAAAGCAGAGCTATAGGCGTGTCGTGGTCAGGGTCGGTCTTAGATCCCTTTTTTGGGATGGCTTAGACATGAGCAAATTTCCAGTTTTCAGGTAAGGTAGGTGCAGGAGTCGCGAAAGAACTGAAGCAAGCTCCACTGCACACCTCTTGAATACAACGACAGGAATCAACTCCGGACCACAAGCTGCTTTGTGGATGTCATGTTATGTCTTACGGCCTTATGCGTGCCTTGATCTTCATGTTGACGTGCAGTGTAGCACGTTTTGTTGAACCAGCCGCTAGGCTCTGGTTTAGGCACTTTCACTGTATGAGAAATGTATGCACTAATACCTTCAGAAGTAAAACGAAATTTCCCAATGACGAAAAAGGAAATCCCATAACCAGTGGCAACAGACCGAAATGTGGCAACGCTGACACCTAAAGACTGTTGTAGACCGGTTGTCACAAGGCAAAAACGTCTGGCACACTTTCGAATTCGCATTCGTTCTTTTGGCTGGAATGGAGAGTAAAACGGGAACCAGCGAGCATCGTGGACTGTTTACACTGTCACGAACCATGAAGTTTAATTCCTACAATTTGGGCGCCAGTAATTTTTTTTGGTTGATTAGATCATATCATGCTTCTGATGGAAGCGAATAACTTGCATTTTCATGATGAAGGCTTCCTAAAATATTAGAATATATTAGTTTTTCCAATCCTTAGCGTCGTAGTGAAAAAGTTGATTCTCCCTAAAACGGTATTCTTGATCATAGATGGACTTATAGAGTTATTCTCGTGTGAAAACATGTATAGTGACACGTGGATAACGAACATAGAGTGCGGAGTATGCCGAATTTTTTTGAGCTTCGCTCCTTATACTTGAAGAACCATCAAGGTGCCGAAAAAATGTGAACGACCTTTTTTGTAGAAAATGTTATTCTCTACAAAAAGGATACTAGTCCTCATACGCTTAGGTTATTAGTTTAGCCATGATAAGCTAAAATATCATTACATGTATCTTACCCTTAAATTTCTCGTAACCTGTTAACTATTTGATAAATTTTCATAGAAGCAAAATGATCAAGAATTTATTTCCATACAAAATTGTTTCTAATACTTTTGAATGTAGGATGTGTGGTTTTCGAGATTTTCGAGCGAACGCGTTTTCCAAAATGGCGGGAAATACTCCAGCCCTATTATGACGCGATTATGAACTTATCATTAGGAAGCAATGATCTAACCATACCACGAAAATAATTACTAATTACCAAATTGTGGGGAAAATAGCTATATCCTGATTTAATATGACCTTGGCGTTTCCATGTAAAAATCAAACATATTTGATACGGAGCGTGAGCGATCGTAGACCAGCCTCTCTCCCGATGCCGGCAGAGGAAAACACCTCGTTCAGACGGAGGGAATTCCACGAATGCAAGAATCACGCTAGCGTGCCACGCTCCGTGAAAACATAGCTTTATAGTTGTAAGCATGCGACTAACCTGTATGCTGTAGAGATCCCTTATCCCAGTAAGGCAGAACACCTTGTAGTCGTCTTTGACCAAAAACTAACATGGAACTCGCATATCAACAGAATAGCTCATAGGACGGTATAGTTGTATGCGGGAGAAATGGGTGATTGAATTTAAAAAATCATCGTGTGGTTTTACACGAGGGTAGTGGGACCCATGATAACCCAGGGCTCAGTGATATGGTAGAATAAGGGTGGATTTCACAATTTAACAAACCATTATTCTGCACCAATAGGGTACGAGTACCAAACAGTCCGTTAAATATACACAATCAGCCTCAAGATCTCTCCGTCAAATTTTTGGCAGCAAATAGCATTAAAGTATTCAAAAAAAACACTGTAAAATATGAAGTGACAGCTTGCCATTGAAATCTTTTCAGTTTATTAAATATTATGAAATTATGTAAAACTGAGCCAAAATTTTTAAATGTCTGAGTAAAATCTATTTTTTCAGATTAGCTGAAGGTTTTTCCATGTTTAATGCAACTTTTGTAATCCATATGTGATTATATCACCTACTGTGTGCTTATAGTTTATCCTATATTTGCAAACTTGCACTTCCAAACCCTTACATGAAAAAGCCTTTTCACTCAAATTTTTGATAGGTGTTGCATTTCAACACATTTATACACTTCTTTCCAGTTCCTCAACGATATTTTAACCCCACTGGTCCGAAACTGTTCATCAGTTTCAACATTCATACATACAATTGAAGTTGCAGTTTTTTGTTTTAATTTCAGTGTATAATCAGTCGCACCATCGGTGATGGTACATTCAACATAACCACGTCTTTAGGGGTTCGTGCAGATTTAACGTCTACACGACAGTGTAATATGTATTTCTTCACAAAAAAATCTTGGAGGCAGCACTTTTATACGGAAATTTGTTGTTAAAAAAATCCATTTTTCACACACGACAAAACAAGTGATCACAAAACATAGAATACAGTGACGTTGGAGAAAGAGAATAGACCAAAGGAGATCGGAATTGATATTTGAAATTAGTGTCTCATAATGTTAGTGATGGGAGAATACATTTGCGATCAGTGGAATGTATTGGAACGGTTAAAAAATATGAATTGAATCGTTTTTACGTTATCTCGACTGAAAGACTGGAATATCTGCTCTGTTTCTGTATATATATTTTTTGTGGTATTGTTGCATAAAGTAGTTGGTTCACGAACTAGTTTCTAGAACTGAACGCCACTTAATGAAACGAACTGGAAAGCACATCACTTTTTCAAGTAATCCAAGAAGGAACAAATTGTCATTTCATCACACTAGTGATGGGAGAATCAAAAGTCTGAGATTCGCTTTGCTTCTGTGGCTCGGAGATATAGTGTTTTCTCCTGATAAAACTAGCGCAGTTTTTGTGTTTAAAATACTCTACCTTAGTTAATACCCTTGATCCTAAAGTTGTTCCCATAACAATATTAAACAACTCTCATGTCGTCTCGCGTATTTCGAAACGATGTCAAGGGCCGGCAGGGGAAAATCTTTCTCTGAGAACTGAAAATCATTAAACGCGCTGTTTTCAGTCTATTTTATTCTATCCCTTGGGGTCGTACAGAATGACGAAAAGACTACAGTGCTCAGTGGCCACTTAGTAGCTCAGTGCTCGTCTGTAATGATAATATTCAAATACTACTAAACACCTAAATAGCTGTCTGGCCTTTCAATTTCGAAGCTGCCAGTCCTCGCTTAGAGATGGTAGCACAGTTAAGGGTAGACTCGGGGTATACGGTTACGGATGTTTATGATTCCTCTCGATATCGATATATCGTCATGAAACCATCGATGCATAAAGATCGATGTTCTACGTCCGATGTATCGATGTTTTCGATACATCAATGTATCGTCTATCGTCGCCATCCCTATATTGTATCCCCACCAGTCACCAGTCAAAAACCTTAACCTCCAATATTTTATTACTATTTATAATTCTTTTTAGCTCTTATTTTTCAGTAATTACTAATAATTTTAGGTCTATGTCTACAGTAATTGCATTATGCACCTCGGAGATGTAGGGATTAACATGTTTTACACATATCGGTGTTTTAGGATGGGGACAACATACTGTTTTGATTGCTTTGAAGAAATTCATTAACCCATGAATTTATAACAAATGATTACTATTATGATGTAAAGAGAGATGAGGAATTGGTTGGAATACATTTTATATTCTATTTTCTTGCAAATCCGCAACAGGTATGTGTAGCTTTAATGATCACATATACACACAGTATATTGAACTTAACAAATTTAGAGATTGCCATGAATTAACAAACGACCAAACCTGCTGCCAAATTTAACAGCTAGAAAATCGACCTATTATTTCTCGCATTCCCATTCGCTGAGGGGATAACGGATGGTCAAATGTACACCTATAACATAAATCAAAATTCATGAAAGTTGTTCATCATGTTGGAATCAAAAAGTGGTTTTGTTTATAATACAGTCGAATTTTCACGATTTTATTCAACATTTTAATAGAAATCACTGATATTCTGAGACCTTTGACAGCTTCCGTCAAATTGCATTTCGATAAGGTATTTTCCTATTGGTCCATAATAATAATGTTGGTGAAATCGGCCCTAAGAGCGGTAAGGTTAAGTGGCCTTCAGAGGCTAGCTTGCTTGAGCGCCACGGGGGCTATGCACATCGCTCCCGCTGCATTGTTAGAGGTTCTTGTAGACCTACCACCATTACACATATTTATTGAGAGCAAAGCTCTTTCCATGGTTCACAGAATTAACTTAAGGCCAAGTCAGCAGCACTGAAAAGATCATCAGAAACTATACACGGAGTTCAAGGCATATACTGTATTGGTCCCAATCAGTGTTGCCAAACTAAAAAATATGACATCGGTAGATAGTGTCGTTGAAATTCAAGGACAAAATGGGTAGGATAAAACAATCAGGGCCGTCGCAAGATTTGCGGTAAATCAAGGGCATTTGCGCCACGTAGAGCAGTCTATGAAGAACGTATATTTTTGTATTCAGCGCGTACATCACATAACACAGTTTTTTTAAGGACATCTTTTCCTAAACGAATATTAACTTATTTATTACAACTAATACAATAAGCATACTGGTCGCTCTTCAAACACTTTTGCAAGCATCCTGGAAACTCCTTTCCAAATACTAATATTTTTCTGTTTTACTCTGAAGTTGAAGCGTCATCACTTGATGAATTCAATATCTGGTATCTAATTAAAAGCGGTCCACCTTTGGTTTCCCTATTGCTTATTCGGGGATGGCAATGGCAGCAATCTACCAGTCTGCACCTGTTGTAGGCGCAAAAACCAATACAGGGAAAGTGGACTGAGGTATGTGTGTACATGATTATGTATGCCTCTAATTAGAGGCAACCCAAGTCCACGTTCCTCGGGTGCCCGACTGCTTAAGTGTACGCATATGTATGATTGATGATATGGGAAATACAACTACATAGATTACATATAATTATTTTATTAGCTTCATTTTTGGTTCCAGCTCTACTTCGTTAGGAAATCTGAAAATATCTGAATTGCTCTAAAAGCTCGTGGAAAATGAGGATGTTTTCGGTATTTCTGTAAATACGGTCTCATTTCGGTAGAGATACCGAAAAATCGGTAGGTTCGGCAACACTGGTCTCATGGACAATTTCGATAAAAACTGCCAAACAACAGTAACAAAAAGGAAGGCGTGGGAGAAAGGATGACCTATACATGCCGAAAGCGGCTCGAAATCTGAAGACAAAAAATCGAGATATAGCAACAATATTTCAGGCTGAAGTAACGTCATGCAAGTCTGAGGAAAAGAGCTAATGACGAAGGTGTCAAGCATCCATTAAGGCATTAAGTTCGGCACAAATATCGTCCAAACTAGTATGGCATTGTGTAAACACTCAAACAGCGGGTCAATCGAAACAAGGTAACGTTGCTCTGGGTAGAAGGGCACGAAGTGCACAAAGGAAATGAGAAGGCGGATGAGCTAGTCCAGAAATTCACCTTATAGGTCCAGAGCCTTTCTTTGGCATGAGTAGAACACACATTAAACATTCCATGAAGATTTTGACGCAAAACCTCCCTAGTTATGGGGAACGGCCAGGGAGAATGGAAGCAAAATAATGAGTCTGCATTTACAGAGGATCTTCTAGGATTTAACAGTAAGGCCATAAAGGCCATACTGTGTCTCTTAACAGGTCACTGTCATCTAAATCGACAACGAGTATGAGGCCACATGCTGATTCTGCAGAGAGCATGTGAAAATCTCCGTGCATCTCCTGTGTTAGTGCGAAGGGCTGGCAAGTTGGCGGCGCCGTGGTTCGTATACCCATTATTGCGCAATTGAAGTGGGTATCAGTTAGTGGAATAGGTTGATTAATTTTAACGCCCTTACCTTGGAATGGAGCAAGCGGAAACTCTGGAAGATCATTCAGCAATCTGTTCATATCCCTTCTGGAAGTGACCCATCTGAAGACTAAGCAAATGAATAGAATGCTACACAAGCTGCACATTACGAATAATGTTAAAATAATGATAGATTTAGAAGGGTTGATGTTATCACAGTTCTGCTCATCCATGCCTGATGGACAATCCAAACTTCTGTCGCACACTTGGTCTTTGCTGATGCAGACATTATCGTTGGCACACATAATCCTGCCTAAAAAGTGTAAGAATTGTGCCAAGTTTACAGTATGCCAATGGAATTTCTTCCTCTGAGGACCCTTCTATAATTTTGCCACGTTATTAGCCGGTTATACGGACTCGTCAGTTTTCTGTTTCTCTGTTTGGCCGAGCTTAACACATCGGAAAATGCCCGATAAAACCGCTCCTCTATTCCTATTGGGAGGATGCAAAAATGTTATGAAAATATAAGAACGAATCGAAAAATGGCGTCTAATAGATTGACTCTGCACTTCTCACGCAACGCTATCAGTTCATATGTTGATAAAAGTTAGCTCCTCGAAATAAGACAACGCAAAGCGTCATCGACTACAAGAATCAACCACTGTAAGAGTGTATAGCAGCTCTCAGTCACCACTGTGACCGCTAAAGGCTGACCGTTCTGGCGGTATAATAGATATGGTTTTACTCTCCATTGAACATGATGCATCTGTCGATCCGTCCGAAGACCTAACCATGGACAGCTGAACTGAGATCTTTACAGTTCCAACCGATAGCTACTATACACTCTCGCAAAGGTCGATTCTGGTAATAGGTGCTGCTTTGCCCAGTCTTACTTCTATAGATCTCACGCCTTGGATAAAGGATAGTTGCTATGCTTTCGTTCGTTGTCCCCAGAGACCAAGTCTAGATCATTCTGATGAGTTGCCAAGAAGCACGAAACAACTGTCCATGGTTGGGAGGTTGAGACAAATACCTTTGGAATGAATTTTTAGCGCGACGCTACCCACCATGACGAAATGGTGTTGTGCGCTTTCGTGGTGAGATGCCTGGCAAACGACTGAGGAGTTTTAGTATGCCGTATCTTCTATTTTTTTGATTCTTAAGGGAAATCTATGTGTAAAACGTGCGTATAAAATGTATTAACGCTAAAAAACTGAGATATACCCTCCCCACTCTCTGCATTGGTGCACCCCCTCCAAAAATGAGTAGGCGTGTCTAAACCGTTTCCCCTTACGAAGCCATAAGACCGTCAAAAAACGAGGAGCGATTTTATTTTTTTAAACGGAAAATGTTGTCAGTGTTAATTGCTTCCAAGGGTTGAACATCCTCGTGGACACTATGTTAAAAAATACCATGGATAATATGGACCATTTATTCTACATTGCATCTTCCCCCTTTGAGAAAATTCGAAAACTGCCGAGATAAATCCTTGTCCTTACCTACGCACTTATCAGTACAATTCACTTCATCTTCCCCTTTCGGACAATGTACCATTCCATCACATCTTTGTGTGTCATCGAAGCAAACCCTATATGTAGTGTCGCACAAACTAGCGTTAAATTGACATGGCCCACACCCCAAATTATGCGAATAATCTTGACAGATAAAGCTATCCGTACACATAACACTTTCATTGTAACATTTGCTTTTATCGTTACATTGGTAGTCACTATAAGAACATTCCGAGCTGTTTCTGATCATGTAAGTGAGAATGAGCTCTAGATTATTGTGCTTAGCTTCAAGGACAACGTATATTGGGCTGTTGGTTTTGATTGATAAGGCTTTAGGCTTGTCTATTTTTTCGTTGCAAAGCCTCTTGATCATTCTTTTGCCATTTGAGATGAAAAGACAGCATTCGTTGTGTTTGTAACACCACGTGGTCTCGCTGTGGAGGATTTTTAGTGTAGTTATCGTTTCAGGACCTGCAAAAAGGAGCAATTTACAGCAGCATATCTTACAATTCCGAAATCTAGAAAGGAACATGTTTCGTGGATAAATCCGGTCGCAGTGCAGGATTTTGAAAGCAGTTTATTTGCTGAAATGCTAATTTTCCTACTCATACAATAGGGCTTCAGCGTCCCAAATTATCCTAGTGTACACAGTTTCCTTAGTGTAAATACGGCGGACGAAAATGAAAATCAAGCATGTGAAGCTTTTGAAGCTATAGAAAAGAATTTTCGATATTTCTTTCCGTTTCGGCAATGTCACCTATAATGTTTCTTCTGCAAATTTGATATGTAGACAGTGCCGCTAGATCCGATGTGTTTCAAATTCCGCCAGAAGGTAAAACAAGTCGGTATTAGTTAGTTTATAAGCTTAAATAGTTTATTTTTTATTAAAATTATATTTTTCGTTAGGCTTTGCTGCTTTAAGGATAGCCTTTTTTATTTAAAACGTAGTTTCAAAATTCGCTGCACCTCATACTAATTTTAATTTAAATTTCTGCTTTGACATGCTCAAGTGTCATGCTGTTTCGACTCTCAAGCCAAATCAAGCTGGTCTGGAAGATACCATTTCCGATGTAGCGTTTGATACTGGTATTGAAGCCATAAATAAAAATAACTTTTTAAGATTTGCTAATTTTTGGTTGTCTTTAAAAATTTTGTGCCACTTTTGTAGCGGCGTCAAGTCTTTGTTTTGCACTGCTGCCTTCACTGCTTTTTTGACTGCCTCTTTACTATTTATTGATTTATCGGGACATTTAGGCCCGTATCGTCAGTCGTCCCTACAATTGTAGGGCGCCTTTATGGCCTCCTTGATTGTCATAGTTTTCTACTTCTCCATGTCAGCGCTCTATTTTGAGGTTATGTCACAAACATCAATTTGCATCAAATTGTGCTTGCTTTTGAGTTATATCATGTTTTATCAGCCTGAAATTTCCTACAATTCAAAAAGAAAACATAACTTCACAATAGGAGATCGCTGACGCTGACAGGGAACAGGTACAATCTAGAAATTTTTGAAGGAGAGAAAAGATTATGATAATCAAGGAGGCCATAAAGGCGTAATACAATTGTAGGAACGACTGACGATACGGGCCTTAGTGTCCAACGCTATGTGAAGAACACAAATGAATCGGTCATTTCAGAAACGTCTTGACCGCGTTGACCGAAATATCACTAATTTAAGAATTTTCTTCTTTCTTATGTACCATAAAGATATTAAAACATGCAAAATTAAAACATGTCACATGTTAGTAAGTCACTATTTAAGTGTAATCTTCAATAATTAGTAATGAAAAAAAAAATATCATTAATAGGAACCTTTTGCATAAGTTATACTTATATCACTAACCCTATTTCATGCTATAACGACATGAGTCCACAACAGCTTTGTGAACTCTTTTCATTATTGTTATTATTGAACTGTCAAGGTTATTTTTCAGTTCAATCTTTTAAAATCCATTTACTATATTAGGCCCAAAATAGTTATTTAAAACGACTTTACTTATCAATGAATCTTTATTGCCTCGAAAAGTTCACATAGGCTGACTTAGATCTAATTTCATAGAGTATATAAGTATTTCTTACAGTACGTTGGGAAAACGAAATACATACATCGATTTCAATTTTTAAAAGCGCAAGATGGATATATAGGTCCAATTTAAAAAAGTATATTTTTCATTTTTAATATGAAACGGTGAAATTACTATCGACCATACAAATTGTAAACTAAAAAACGTTCGCATATTACTTGTGTATTAAGTTGTATTTAAATATTTATAAAAAAACTCCTAATCAACGTAATCAGTTATTTTATGGTTTTATTGTACAAACCATCATGGACACTGGATTGGTAAAAACAGAAAGCACAAATTTGCCGAAAATTCACGCATTGATGGTTTGTAATTTTTTCCGTTCAACCCAGATGTCTGCTGTATTGAGGTGAGGAACATCAACACTTGTATGAAAGTACAGTACATCTGATATAATGATAGACATAAAAAGAAAGAACAAGTAATACACTTACATAATCTTTCTTTTCAGAAGTCATTCAAAACTAAGCTGATGCTTCATAACCTCAATAATTTTATCTAATATTTTATTTCTTCTGACACTTGATGATGCCGAAGGCAATGCTCAACTCAAACGAGTCGATAAAATCTGCACAGTAAAATGTAAAGTATGTATATCCCGAACATAAGGTATGCTCCAAGCAATACGCAGTGTTGCGTATATTTATTTCCCTGGGCAGTCTAAACCTCAGCTTTCCTGGTATCTTTATCGATGTGTTTTTACATTCTTCGACGATACGATAACGATAATTACTATATTCTTCATGTAAACTAGTAGAAATCATGTTTAAAAGTTTAGGAGGTTATGCTGTTGTCAGCTGCCGTTTACAAATGGTATGACGTCAGAGCACATTAATATGAGCCAAACATGGCGGACAGCGCTTTCGCTTGTATATTTTTAAATTGATGGTTTATCGTCTTTTAGGTTTTAAAAATATAGTTTTAATTTCATGGTAAAATATAACTTGGCCCTTTTTGTAACTATCGCCGATTCAAATCTGATGCCAGTTTTTTGCTGAGATCGACAGAAGTCACCGAAAAGCCGATTTACTTAGCTTAGACCTTAGGTAAGATTTCGCGACCCTTCGCGATATTTCGACGACAATAGCAATTTGCAATAAGCATAACAGATTATTCGACGGAGGACAAAAATAGAAATTTTGCTTGAAGGTCAAAGGCATACTATTGAAAATGACCATGTACTGTTATTTCAAGATATTCAGAGTCAGATTTATAGACCTTACTTGAGGCCTTGCAAACCATGGAAATCAAATATCTCTTTGGAACCAGTGAAACAATGACGCTTCCTTGAGAAACGTTCAAGGGATGATTTAAATTGTTATTTCAGAGTAGGCTGTAACAGCTGTCATCAATTTCGGAAAGATTAGTCTTAGGAGAATTAGCTTTATTTGTGCTAAATACCAATAAACAATGCAAAGCGCTATCAGAGAGAAGTGAACAAACTGAATATAGGCACCGAACTGCTCTGCTGGTTACAGATTGTAGACTACGTTTGTCTGATTCAACTACTCCAGTATTTAAATAAACATACTTTATACTGAAATCATCTTATAATGTGTGACTATGAGAAAAATAGAAGTTTAGCGACGAGAAGATGGCTTTCATCGAGATACTAGACAAATTTAAAGGGATCATTGAAAATAAAAGCAGATGGCAGCAGCCGAGCAGTTCGGTGCAACTGGATGCCTAAATTCAATTTTTTACTTCTTTGTGATTGCGTTGTAATTCGAGGGAGCAAACACATTATCACATTGTGTATTGATATATTTAGCGCAAATAAAGCAAACCATCCCAATTTTATTATCAAAATCCTAAATAGATACGGCTACAAAAATCTGACATCAATGACAGCTTGTGATGATCACTGCTACAGCCTGCAGTGCAATAAAAATTTAAATCCTCCTTTCAAGGTTCCTCAATGAAGCGTCATTTTCACTATTTTCAAGGAGAGATCCATTGTTTCCAAGGAAGCATCAAGCCTTAAGGAATGTGTATGATATACATCTGACTTTTAATATAAGAGCAAACGTTCAAGATTTTGCTATTGAAAATATGTTTTCTGTATATTTTTTAATTTGTGAAATGTAAAAATTACCAGAATGGATGGTCCAGTTGCAATAAATAGAAGATACCGATGGATGGTACTCTATTTCCATGATGCCTCTTGCGTTGCGTAGGTCGACTTCTCCACAATAGCCCGTCCTGTTTGCAGGGCATAGTTGAATCAACAGGAAAACTACAAATATCACCTTTTCAATCATTTTTTGACATTGACAGTAGATGTTAATGTTAACCTAGGATTTTCGAGCTATCATCACGTTTTTTTACTGGGTGTTTTCGATCTTTGTTGTTTGTCCTACCCATTGGGATCTCAGATACGGTAAGAGATACGAAGACTATTTGAGATACGACATTGTCATGTTTCTCCTGTACAAGGTGGCATAATTGGAATTTTAATATAATGGTTCGTCTCTTGTCCTCAATCATCAGCTTTTTTTTCTTATTGACGCCATATTAGATTTTGGTACAGCAGAATGGAGTTTTTAATTCTGATTCTGAAAATGTATAATATACCATGCCTCCTTTAACCTTTTCATTCTTTGTCTGCAATCTTCCCTGATTTCTAGTTGACTAGAAGACGAAAAAACAAGCTGATCGACATATTTTAATACAAAGTCAAATCTTCGCTTTTCTGTCTTCTAAGGATAATTCGATATAATAAATTAATAAATTTAAGAAGTGGGAGAATATCTTTTGGCTTCACTCATCATTGTTACCGTTACGGCGTATAATGACAACGCTAGAAGACTAATCATCGTCCTGTCTTTTGTTATAAGTATAATAATGTGGGAAGATGAAGCGTATATGATTAATGTACTTCTACTGCAAATTACAGTTCCTTTGTTAGCCCTTTCAAAGATCTTATGACTGCATTCAGCGGCCATAAAATACATATAAAGGGTTTCACTATGATATATTGTTTACAAGTATTTATGAACTTCAGAGAAACAGAACTTTAGCAGGTGATTATTTGCGCGTTACAATAATAATTGTATTTATATCATCCCATTGTTTTGAATGTAATAAGTATAGAATTCTGATTCCGCAGAAGTGAGTAATTTTAGTGACTATGTCGATTGATTGACGTAGTCTAGCTGAAGATAGCCGATCATATACTGTATTCCGGCATTCAAAAAAGGGATCTGAAAGTTATAAGCGTCATCTATGAGACAGTAGCTGAGCACAAAAACGTATTCAGAAATCTACTCGGAAAGAGAGTGAACTAGTAATATAGCCGTCGTTCGTCCGACTACAAACGGTCAGCAATGGACAGCGGTGGCTCTCGACAATAGTAGAATCAATACTAACTCTTTACAAAGTAGATTTCTAAACTCAGTTTTGTGTTCTGCCACCGTCTCATAGATGCCGCCAGTATCTTTCAGACCCCTTTTTGGACGCCAGAATCCATCGTATAGTTGGATGTTTTCAAGTAGAGTACGTCAGTCAATGATAAGCCGTATTTGAGAAAAGTATCTTACTCTGGGTGAGAAAGATTGGCCGATATGTATCATATTCCTTGAAAAAGTATATTATAAATTTTTATAATAAAAATGATTCTATTCCATGTTAGTGTTAGAAATCAGTAACTATGTTAGATAGTGGCTACTGCATCACGATGCATCACTTCCTCCAGGAAAATGATAAGATAACGTAAGCTTCACTATGAAAGTGGGATAAAAATATTCTATTACAAAATATACAAGAATGAAATAATCACTTCAATATCTAAAATTATCCAGGATTACGTATTTTTTTTGATTTTCGCATTTTGTAAACAGTTATGATCTATCCAGCGAGAGCAAAGTGCGTAGTGGAGGTAACTAGAGCGATAGGTGTTGTCTATCTGATAGAATCGATGGCATGACCTGGCGAAGGTGCAAATATTCCGGTGTCATCATTTGTTAAATTGTCCCTGACGTCAAGTCGACTAAATGTCTGTTAATTTTATTAATATCAGAAAAACTCTTGTTGGCGCAATCATCGCGAATCCAACGAATACATAAATATACGAGGGACATTTTAATAAGTAAGAACCCTTTGCGCATCCTACCACGTGGCGTCCGCGAGAAGTACGCTGAGTAAATTCGGTTTATAAAGGCAAAAAGTTCGCCCTGTTATAAATGCTGACAAGCACATTATTGAAGCTTACGTAAGCGCGATATATTCAAAACTGCTCATTGTGCTTCACGGCAACGCTCACGTTGCCGCAAAAACACAGACGCGACAGAACAAGCTTCGTTGGGATGTACTGGATCATCCACCATACATCCATATTTTAGCACCATCAGTCTTTCGCTGGGAAAATAATGGCACATTGAAAGAAACAGTTACTTACTGGTTTAACACCAAGATGTCAGCGTTGTTTTGCTGGTGCCATGACGTGAAAAATGTTTAAATGTACATGTTGACTATATTGAAAAATGAAAAAAAAATCATATTTTAGTTAGTGGTACAACTAACGTTCATAAATAATTTTCTATGCCTCCATTACCATACGGTTCTTTTTTATAAAATGAGCCATTTCGTATCGTGGAGCTGCATTTCCGCATATGCATTCCCAAATAAAGGTTTTCGAAATCTATGCTACCCGTTAGTATTCGATACTGAGATGCGGTAAAATCGGGATCATGATCTAATATCTCCATGACCCTTACAATGCAACTATCTGCAATTCAAATCTGTAATATTAGATAAGATACGGCAATAAATTAATAATCCTGAGAAAGACAATTATCTGTAACAGTATTAACACGATATATTAACATATAAACACATTCTCGGTCCATGCTTCTAAGAACAGGGTACATGCATGCCATTATCTAGAGTAGGGTATTGTCAAGAGTATACAGACTAAGGAGTAATAAGGTCACTTCGCTGTTAGATCTGTTTCTACATGGGATATGAAGAACCGGTGGTATTTCGGACAATCGGAAAGGAGGTGGGCTGATAAGAGCCATTTTTCGCCTATGTGACATATATATTTATGAAGCGTATACTCCATAACAAAGAAGAAAACATATTTATTTCAAATGAAAACTGAAATTCGTGGTATACATAAATTAAATAATTATCTGGTTGTGATATACAGTGCTTTTCTTTAATGTCCCCCTCCCCTTTGATTTTTTGAACGGATCAATTTAAAAACTTGGGGTAATGAAATTGATGCGTGGATACCATATTTTAGAGTAAAACTGACAGATGAAAATGTCAAGATGGCCGCTGGAAAAAAAATTATATGAAAACGGGGGTCTTGTGGCACATCATTGTGAAGCTCCTGACGAGTACTTTATAACCCTAGAATATAAAGTCAATACCTTTACCTAATACAAAATGGTGGTACATTTAGTAATTACCTGAATACATTGACATTTAAGGACAAACCTCACATACATTCGCGACGGAGGAAGTAGACTGTTGGGGATTTACTATGATCTCACCAATTATTTGAACTTGCTTTTCTTCCGGGATGGTCGGATGACCTATGGGCTTTTTATTGTTTACACTACCAGTAGCTGTGAATTTAGATACTAGTTCCCTTAAATAATTTCTACAGATAAGATGATTCGGGAAACGATCATTACAAATCCTATCGGTCTCCTGAAAGTTACGCGTCGCACCATAAATAAAAATCGCTTCGATTTTTTCTTCCAATGGACGAGAATTGACCATTTTAAAAATAGTTCAAACGGTATCTAGCACTAAAACCGAAAACTAAATAAGAATATTTCAACTGTACAATGATGTTGGTTTTCGTACTGATATTCTTGTCACTGTCAACAAAAAATAACAAAACAAGTTTTTATCGCTGTTGCTGTGGATACGGTAGGAATTACAATTATTTGTAGAGATATGCATGTTAGTGGGTTTGTGTTCAAGTAATGATTAAATGCACCACCATTTTGTAGTAGGTAAAGGTATTGACTTTATAATCTAGGGTTATAAAGTACTCGTCAGGAGCTTCAAAATGATGTGCCCGTTTTCATATATTTTTTCCAAGATGGCGCCCAGCGGCAAACTTGACATTTTCATCTGTCAATTTTACTTTAAAATATGGTATCCACGCATCAATTTCATTACCTCAAGTTTTAATTTTTTGAATTGATCCGTTCACAAAATCAAAGGGGAGGGGACATTAAAGAAAAGCACTGTATGTTTATTAAACAATAATAATAAAAGATAATCAGTTTTCATACTCATATTTTTTTACTGATCTTCTTCCTTGTCTTCTTCATTCGAATCACTATCAGACCTACCTATACCTTTACTACGTAAATACTTTTCGATCAAAATCATGTCTGAACACTCTCGCAGCATATATTACTTATTTTTGGATTGATGCGCTCACTGAACCAAAACAAATAAATACTCATATACAAGCTTATAATAAGTAGATTCACTGAGCATTAAAGTTAATGTGGTTCATGGAACGCTTCGTAGGGAAAGCATGATTCAAATATCGAAAAACAACAAAAATGCACAAAAAGCGCTAAATACTCTACTTCTTGGCAATAATTTCTACATTATTTATACCGTAAATATCATATTATGAAAAAATACACGTCTTTTAGTTCACAAATAAACTCAATAGTCTGGAATCGAACTTTTCATTTTTGAGTGTGTTATGGGCGAAAAATGGCCCTTATCAACCCACCTCCTTTCGAGAGTAGGTCTCAAAGGAATCGGGATTTTAGATATTTTTGGAATTTTAAGGTCAAATTTAGTTTTAGCGTTAAGATCAAGTCAAAACAGACTGCTTTGAGGTTAATTCCAATTCCATTGTTTTTATAAGAAACAATATATTTCGCTATGAATCCGTCAGGAAGTTATTACCGCTTGAGGGCGCAACAATCCAAAACACATTACTGTGCCTTGGCTAACATGATGCGTCTTCGCGAAAAATTCGATTTCGGTGGATGGTGCAGTCCTGTCAAAGAACCATACATTTAAACTCGTCGGAGTTCAGATTAATGAGTACTTTTTTCCACATAATCTCCACACCTAGCCTCGAGTATTACCCACGTTTGAGGTGCTGCCGCCCCGATTACATTATCCATACTCGTTGCTGTTCAGAAGAGGGCTACTCGACAGATTGATGACACTTCTCTAACGGACAGTGTCGAGACCCTTTCGCACCGACGGGCGGTCAACGTTCTTGAATTTTCTACCACTGTACCAACGGGTTTTGCTGGCACGCGTTATGCCTAACATACCAACAATGTCGAACTTCATAAAT